AATATATCTTTTCTAAACATTTTTGAATCTATTTTTTGTCTACATTGATTTGCGAGATCCTGTGGAACATTTAAAGGTTTTGACGATGTGTCAGAATCTAAATAATAATTCCATATGTATTTTGCAGTTGAACTTATTTCTCTATCATTATTTATGTCAATCTCAGATGAGAAAAGTTCACGATATTGTACAACATCCATGTAAAAGTCCAAATTTTCTTCACAATATTGAGATTTTAAATATTCCTGAAAGTTATTTCGAGCATCTACATTCTCAATTATTTGCATCAAACGTATTCGACTAGATTCAACATTTGAAGTTCGACCATTGTTTACTATTGGAGCTCTCTTAACAGGAATTTTACGCTCATTTGTGGTCCCAAATATGGCATCATCTGGGGGTGATATGACATTATTTTCTTGAGTCATAAGGCCACCTAAACCAGAATCGCCAGTAACTTGCCACTCGAAAGCAGGTAAAGAAGCCGGTAGCTCGGACTTGGCTCGAGGGTTAGTTTTACCCTAAAAATGGTTACAGAAATTACTTAATAAAAATATAATAATATATAAAATATTATACATATATATATAAATATATATAGATACACATATATATATATATTAATAACATACTTCTTTTTTTTTGTCTAAAAGTTTTAAACCGAGTTTGAGCATCAGATGAACTTAGATAATAATTGCCAAGGAGAAAAAGAGATTAAAGAAAAGAAAAAAGGATTGAAAGGAATGAAAAAAGTTAAGACAATTAAAGAGCCCGCGAAAACGTAAAATACTCTAAAACACGATACATGATGTAAGTAAACAAAATGCGCAAGATTATATTGGAAATTGTTTTAATTTAACGTATTTGACTCATTTATCTCAAAAGATTTATTGTATGCAAATGAGTAATGCATGCGATTTACAATAAACTAATAAAATCTGCAAGGAATTATCCAACCAAAACAAGAATACAAAGAAAATTGAAATATTACCGATATTAAACGCATGTCAGTGGTTTACTCTGGTGGTAACTGGTTACGAACGTGCCACCCAAATCAGTTCACAAACATGAAATTTGACGATCTATTTTTTTATAAAATTCTACTTAGGATCTTAACGATTTTCCGATGTTTACTTGTTTATCAACAACATTATTTTTAAGTGATGCAAACAATATTATTAAAGTACATAAAATATAAAACGTAAACCTATCAAATTTGGCATGACTAAACATTAAATATCTTGTTATGCAATAAAAG